GTATATATATATATATTAAGAAACAATTTTCTGAAAATTGAAAGTCAAATGATTTCTTTGAAGCAGTTTTTATTGTGCATATTAATATTTTACCTTCAAACATTGTTAAATTCTATCATCTTTATGTTATGCATACTGCGGGACAGAGATTATTCCAGTTTAAAGGCGGTCTGAAGTTTAACCTACTTTCAGTTCATCGTCTCCAGAATTGGGCTGAGTTCAGTTATTCTCCTTCTCAATAGTATTCGAAGCAGGAAGGACCTGAAAGAATTGTTCGACACCTTCGCTGTCCCCTGCAGTCGCTCAGGTCCAGAATCGTCCCCTGTTTACACCAACCTCAGGATAGATGATAAAGACACAGGATTACAGCCAGAGCTTGGTAAAGCAGCTATTCTTTTTTTCTGAAAGCTTTGAAAATCGTGTTTACGTAGTATTTTTTCTACTAATGGCTCCATCTTTTCTTTAGATTTACTGACCCGTAATGGCTCTGATCTTGGCCTTTTTATCCGGACGAGGCAGCAGATGTCTGACAACCAGAAGCAGATCTCAGATGCAATTGCAGCAGCCAGCATTGTGACCAACGGCACAGGGGTGGAGAATGTGTCYCTTGGTGTCTTGGGATTGGCTATCCCTCAGCTCAATGACTTTTTAGTCAACTGTCAGGGAGAGCACCTGAGTTACGATGAGATCCTCAGCATTATACAGGTAAGAGTCTGGAGGGGGATAGACGATGATGGAGATAAAGAATATGTCTTAAGAATGGAGAGAAGGATGAGAAAATACCAGATACACTTTGTTTGTAAACTAAACAAATAAAGTCCTTCACCTTCTCATAAAATCCAGATTAAATGTGAAATAAACTCTTCTTTTGTAGAAATTTGAACCTTCGTCTACGATGAGACAAATGGGCTGGATGTCATTTGAGGGTTTTGCCAGGTATTGCATACAATTAAATATTTTAAAAACCAAAGAATTTAACAAATTGGTTCAAAAATACAGTCCATACCAAATCCTAAAACATGCATTTAAATATACATTTTGTTAAGTAGTTTTGTGAACCTACTTGATAATTGTTTCCTCCTGTTCAAACCAGGTTTCTAATGGACAAGGAGAACTTTGCTTCTCGTAATGAAGAATCTCAGGTGAATCCAGATGAGCTGCAGTATCCTCTGTCATACTACTACATCGAGTCTTCTCACAACACTTATCTGACCGGGCACCAGCTCAAAGGAGAGTCCTCCGTTGAGCTTTACAGTCATGTAAGTAAGACTAGTTATATGCCTTTTCCTTTCATTTTATTGCTTTCTAAAGCTGCTGTTTACTTTTAAACTTCCATGTCCTGTAGGTTCTGCTTKAAGGCTGTAGGAGTGTGGAGTTAGACTGCTGGGATGGCGATGACGGCATGCCAGTTATTTACCATGGACATACGCTCACCACGAAGATTCCCTTTAAGGTTTAAAATGAGCATTAATATCTTAATAATTTGTTAGACCTGTCTAAAGACCAGTGGTGGGCACCAGTCCGCTAAAGCGCAAATCCATTAATTGCGGACCTAAATATTTTGTTTGCGCTTTAGTGGTCTTACAAATTTTTATAATTCATAAGCGGATTTGCGCTTTCTAAAATTATAATGCAGTACCGCTAATAACTAATTATCTACCAGCCATCATTATCTTGAACAGCGTAAGGTATGGCTGTCAATGAATCACAACACACGTCATCTATCCAACAGCACTCTTCCCAGATAAACACACTTATTGGAAAGTTATACATCCTTGCTGACTGTTGCTCTCGGTCACGTTCTCATTTCCCACAATGCTTTGTGTCTGCTTACGTGGCAGGAAGACAATGTTTAGTACTCCCTTTCCCAGCAAAAACGGTAAACGTTTGTAATCCACACTAAAATTTTGTATGTATTGATTTATTTTACTTTACAATCAGAGCTCCTTTAAAAAAAAATGAAGTTTAAACGCTGGAGCTCAATGCTTGACGTAATTGGTCGAAGCAATCCTCCAACGGGGTTTGACAGACATCTAGTGGTCAACTGGAGCAACTACATGGAAAACTTTCATTTTCCGTCACAAATAAATCCGTCATGTACCCAGAATGCATCGCTTAGTTTTCCAACGAACAGTTTTAAAATTGCTTTATTGATGCTTCTTTAAATGAAAAATCCACAACATCCTCAACAACTTTTTAAAGAATCAGCCGAACTAGCAATCCTCAACAACTTTTTAATTTTTACACCGGTAGCCAAAGTTCTGTTTCAGGAAATCACATCCCCAGCAATCGGCGGTTGTAGGATTAAGCTTTAAAAGGGTTCATACACAGCTAGTTGGCAGTGTTGTACATATATTGTACATCAATTGTTGCCAGCTAGTWAGTGTCAAATTGAACTTGTGCTTTAAAATTAACTTRCACGAGTATTTCTATGGCATAAGCGTTTTTGAAGTTGCGGACCTAAATATTTTCATAAGTGCTTTAGAAATTGCYGAGCTAATTTTTGGGTTAGCGCTGCCCACCACTGCTAAAAACCTGCCTCACTGTATTTTCTGTCAGCACATCTTCAAACACAATTTTACTGCTGCATGATGTACTCTTGTTGAAAAATTCAAACATTAATCTGAATTCTCTAACACATGTGAAATAATTTAGTCACCAGCTGGTTGCCATTCAGAATCCTATTTTATTACTTATTGTGTGCTGTCTAGTTTTTGGACAAATCTTGAATTTAATTAGAAGCTGTAACTCTGGGGCGGCTTTAGTAAATCATCTGAAATGGTTTTACTGTCACATATTTGACTTGGAGTGCTTGCTTATAAGACTTTTTCTTTTTTTTTTTCTCTCCCTCTCCTTTCTCTTGATCCTTCAGGATGTGGTGGAAGCAATCAACCGTTCTGCATTTGTCCATTCTGACATGCCGGTCATAATATCCATAGAGAATCACTGCTCTCTTCCACAGCAACGGAAGATGGCTGAAATCTTCAAGGTACAATGGAAGCTACATTTTCTATGTGTGTCTTTTTTGTTTCTGTTGATTTAGAGGACTTATTAGTAAATGAAATGCAAATGGGCTCAAAATTCTTCATAAAATTGTATTCATTAGCTTTACTCACAGCTTTCCACTTGTTCCCTATAACTAGTTAAAAGAACTCCAAAACATAGTTTGACAGTGCAAATATCTTCTCATTCGTCACATTTATTCAGCTGCTCTCGTTGTTCAAACTTCCAAACTTCCAGTCAAAAGTTTGGTTTTCTAATCGTCCYACGAGAACTGTCTGTTTCGTCCTTTTTAAGTTCCACTGTATAATCAAGGCCATGCATGTCAAGGCAAGACAGCTACATCATGGAATATCATCGTGCTTTCATCTACAGAAACTTCCCAGCATCTCATCCTCCCTGGAGAARGACTTCTGAGTATCGTGATAAATATAAGTCTTTTAAGTTCAGATGGCTCCATGCCCCCTGAGCAGCTTACTTTACCACAATCTTGTTTGTTTGAAGTGTTTTCAATTGATAAAAGCACTTTCATTTTCTCTCACTGGGAATTCTTTGTCAGATTCAGGAATGACTCCGTCCCTTTTTGGTTTTTTTAATTGCGACACTCATCCTTTGAATGAATCATACTTATGTCATCTGTTGTGATGTACCATCAGACAGTGTTCGGGGAGCGACTRGTGGCACGCTTCCTGTTTGAAAGCGACTTCAGCGATGACCCTCACCTGCCGTCACCGCTGCAGCTGCGTGGGAAGYTCCTTCTCAAGAACAAGAAACTCAAAGCTCATCAAGCACCTGTGGACATCCTCAAACAGAAGGTGGGGAGGAAATAGATTCTCTCCATAGGCGTGTATCATCATGTGCATAATTTATATTTCTTATAAGTCTCTTCTGCAAAGTGTAGTGTAATATAAATTTAGCTTTGTTGACCATTAAAGTGCTGTCAGACATGAATAATAGATGCAAATGTGTCTAAATGAACACCATTTCCACTCAGTGAAAGCAAGATTTGCCCATACGTACGCTGCACTTTCTTACCTGGTGTCAGCCTTTATATTTGCAATTATTAGGAAACTGTAGATTGTTTTATTTATGGAATTCAAATAAATGTTTTATATTTTAGGCTCACCAGCTGGCTCACATGCAYGCCCAGGCAAGCAACGGATCCCCAGGAGTTTCTTCACCAAGCAACCATGCCAATGAGGAAGAGGAAGAAGAGGAGGATGAATATGATTARGACTACGAGTCTTTGTCAGATGGTAAGGATGACTGCTTTGGGGTTTATGATTTGAAACAAAAAACTAACTCAAAGTTCAAGTCCAACAAGACTTTTATAATCTTTTAAGATGAAACCCTCTTATTGTGTCTTACGTTGCTTTTTTAAATGCTTTCTTTTCACTACTTTCTTCTATCTCCCCTCTATTTAACAGTAGAAGTGACTTTTTTGTGTTTATTCTTTTTCATTTCTATTATTTTTTTCCCTCACCTGTTTTCTGATTAGCTGATGTCCTCACAGCCTCTACTGCTTCATATGGCCTTGAAGGTAAAGTCTTAATGTGCTTCTCCAGACGTGMTTCCTCTCTATTTGTTATGTAGTGGTAAAGACACATTAAAAACTACTCTTAGATATTGATCCTTCAATAATTATTTGGTCCAAACTAACCTGCTGTGCCTATATAACACTGCAGAATGGCTACAGAGGAAACACTGGTATAAAGAGGTGCATTGTTYCTGTTTTAGATGCTTGCTCGCTGCTTTTGTTGCATGGGAACCATTCTTTCATGGTATTTGAACAATATATATACTGTACATATTTTTTGTGACTTTTGATGTTTGGCAGAAATTAAAGCTCATTATTACAACGTTTAGGGGCTGAGTGTACAATACACCCAGGATAAAAAGCAATGAAATGTGTTCAGCATAAACAGTGGTTAACATATTGTCAACAGTTTGCGTCATCTTTAGGTATATCAGGAGTGTTTATGTGCTTTTGTTCTGTCGTTGTTGTCTAGGCATTAAAACACGAATTATTCAGTTATGTAATTATTTATTATTATTCACAGTTACTTTATATCAAATTCCCTCATAATAAACATGTAAAGTTTAAGTAACCTGATTTAGTGGGATTAGATTTTTTTGTACTCACCATTAAACAGCTGAATAAACTCAGTACAGGATGTGAACCAATTCTTAAAACATGAATACCATTTAAATATGAAGTCTATGCATATAAAATTTTAGTTTTAATCAGGATTAAAACTATTTACTGTACGTGCAACTCTTCTTTCTCCCACAAAAGCCCATCCCCCTCCTTCCCGCCGTCCTGTATTTGTCTGTGACCTCGCCAGTGACTGGGCAGGCTCATAGGGGAAACAAAACAAAGCCATCTGGTTTCTCAGGCCCTACACTGCCCCTGCAGTGAAAAGCAGACCAGGGGAAACTACCACGTCCTGGTCCCAGTCACAGCTTTGCCATCTCCTTCTCCCTAACAAACGGAGTCCATGACCCTAAAGCACATTTCAACTCCTATAGTTGACAGTTTGTACAATTAATATTTTAGTTTGTGCTTCTGAGGAAGGTAGCCTTGTTTTGAAATCCATTCTTTAGCCACTAATTGTTAACAAATCCAGCAAATGCAACAACTTGAGTAAACGCCYCCTTACCATTTGTAGCTGAACAGTAGCCCCCTCCAGTCTCTCTGTCTCTAGCTGCTGTCAGCAGCGGGACATTAAAGGTCAAATTTGTTGCTAAACTATCATTAAAGGAGACAGAAGATTTCAGAAGTCAAGTATGGACAAGTTTTCTCTGATAAAAAGTTTCCAAGTTTTCCTTGCTTTTTGGTGGGTTTGGCTTGGATTGATGTGTAGGAGGAAGAAAAGCAACTGGAAGGACTCCCAACTGCTGCTTCTGTTTATTGTTAGGAGATATTTTTTAGAATATTTCTGAGGAGTCACCATAGTGGGCTTTTGCTTCAGCAACACTTATAAGGTTTTCAATTAAGAAGGCATTCATTTAACTGATTCTAGTTTTCCTTTTGAATGGTCCTCTAAGTGTAAATGTTTTCCTCCCAGTTGAAAGGGATGCCACATAAATGAGCATGAGATAAAGACACAGATGCATAGAAATATGTTTTCCTGGTGACTTCAATTGCACAGGTTTTTTTTACATTTCATGGAAATGTGGAGTGTTTTGTTTCTATGGAGATGTAAGCATTGCTACATCACTATCACACTTCATGGTCATGCTAGTTCAGTTGGTTTGTGTTGCACCTTTGCTGAGCTCTGCTTTTCCAGTAAACTCCCCAAAGTTTACAAATGCTCCGTTTGGTGTAAAAGGTTCTGGTTGTCTGCAACCTTTTTTTTTCTCTTCATCATACAGTTTTATTTTGCAGATAACATCCTCGAGGACAAGCCTGATGTCAAAAGTCCAGCTGACAAAGAAGAGCAACCTACTGATGACATACCTAAGAGGATGAAGAAGGCTGACATGATGCAGAGTAAAGGAAAGGTGGGACCCTGAACTATTAAACAGAAGATATTTCGATGCGTCGATGTACTTTTCTGCTGGTTAGGAATGAAAAAGTGATGTTGGAATTGAAGTTTGATCCCGTGTATCTGAAGTTCTGTGTTTTTTCGTGTCTTCCTGCACCTCTAGGTGTTTGACATGGAGCTGGGCGAGGAGTTTTACCTTCCTCAGAACAAGAAGGAGAGCCGACAGATCGCTCAGGAGCTCTCTGATCTTATCATTTACTGCCAGGCTGTAAAGTTTCCTGGTAGAGTATCTATTCTTTTCATCTTTCTAATAAACCATTTTAGTTTAATCCCTCTTTAGCTTTACTCTGATCCAATCCCATGGTCTATTTAAAAGGCTCATAGGTCCCTTCTGATTTTAAATGTATTTCATTAAAAAGACACTCGTATCCCTGTATAGCACTTCTTTTCTGTCCCACCCAGAACACCCACTGAGATCATGACTGCTCTTCTCCCCATGGGAAAGTTAAAGCTACTTAACTGTGTTTAAATTCACCACACAACACAGATGGTTTTTTTGTGCAGTTTAAAAGAAAGTTTGTTTTTGTTGGTTGTGGTGTATTAAAAATAAACCTAAAGCTTTCATGAAATGTCACCCTCCGCTTGTACCCACTATTATTTTTTTTCTTTTTTGCCACTTCAGTAGAAAGCAGAACTGAATATCTGAATATTATTATCTTAGCTTCTTCATCGTCAGTGGCTTTTTTTTTAGTAGGAGAAAAAGAAAGAGAAAGGAAAAAAAGTGAAATGTAATGAGAGAGTGAAAGAGAGATTAGAAGATATGTGAAATATATGTTGAGAAAACACAAGACAGCACACCGGACTTCTTGGCTCCACACCTACAAAAACAAAGACAGCAAAAGCACAGCAACAAAAATGCGTAACTATATAATTATAATGACTATAGCCTTGCTGAAAACCGTAAATTTATACATATACACAAACATACCCATACCTACATATCCAAACACTTTCATATAAATATACACATATACACATATCTGTACATACACATATGCAC